ATTCACCGACTCCATTAGATTTATCTAATCCCATGGGGAAAAATTGAACTATGGGGGGAGGCAAGACCTCTAATGGAGTTCAGCACAAGATGTTTTAGGCTATCTTTGGAATGTGATTAATGTGACAATTCACAGCAATCGTCGCCATTTCAAGTCCATCAGGTCAAATCTAAAACCGCAAGCTAGACATTATAGCTGGTAAAATGGTATTACATTTAATGTTTATGATTGATTGATGTCTCCGATAAAAGGCATCAGTCATACGGATGAGGTCACGTGTCTCTTCATCCAACGACTCTCATTCACATTTTTCTACCATACAAGCTCACACTTAATGCCATTTTCAAGGTAATTCAAGTTTAGACCCTCAAGCTATAACTTTTCCATATTATCACTTCCCAATATCAACCCACATTTTACATTTGATACTCACATATAAAGGTCTCCCACACATATATATTTACTTCTCAGATTAAGTTGATCGTCGGAGTGCGCAAGACCAACTCCACCCCTACTGGAGGAAGTCACGTGTGGCTAACTGTTTGTCCAAGTATATAGGAATTAAGCTTGCATGGATGTGAGAGGTTCTGAGATTTGTTGGCTACTTCGGAGGTACAAAATTCAAGGTCAATAGGCTCACTCTCTTTAGCAAGGACATGGCCTTCGCTTCATTCAGCCTTACAGGACCCTTCATCTACATCAACAGGCTTGCCTTCTTTAGCAAGGGTCTCGCCTTCATTTCATTCAGCCTTACAACAAGCTTCACCTACATCAACAAGTCCAGCCTCTTTAGCAAGGGCCTCGTCTACACATAATTCAGGCTTACAACAGTTTTCAACTATATCAACAGGCTCACCCTCTTTAGCAAGGGCATCACCTACACTTAATTTAGCTTTACAGCAGGCTTCACCTACATCTACGTGTCACACAACTTTACATCTTAACTTAAAAGTCCACACATTATATGAATAACCAAACATGAACTTGGGGGGACTCTTGAGATACGCTACTTTTTTTTTCACAAAAAAGGGAAAACCCTCAATTTAAAAGTTCAAGCATTATATGAATAAACATACATATATTTCAGGGATTATTGTTAAGCCTCACTTCATAAGGCTCCAAATACTCTACGTGGCAAGCAAGTGTGGATCCCCCGAACCCGTTCAAAGTATCACGTAGATGTTCTAACCGAACCTCTTTGGGTGGCCAAACATATACGTTCACCGACCCCATTAGATTAAACTAACCACATAGGTAAGAATCGAACTACGGGGGGAGATGAGGCCACAAAAATGAGTTCAGCTTAAGATCTTCCAAGCAATCTTTAACAATTCATTGCTGCCGCCATTGCCATTTCTAGCTCATCAAGTCAAGTCTAAAGCCGCAAACTTAAAAATGTATCTTAATTGTCACCGAACTATATCAGTACTACTACTTAATAATTGAACTTGAACATGGATTTCAAGAGTCACTAAACTATACACCGTGTTATCCATCAATCCCTCAAGTTGACAACTTTTATTGAATCTAATGGATTTTCCTACTTGAGTGATGGATGTGTAATATGATGTATAATTCAATGTTCATATAAATACATTTTTAAGTTTAATGTAGTAACAACACTTGATAATGTTCAATGATGATTGGGATACATGTTTAAATCTATTTATTAAAGGAAGTTCATGACCATTCAAATAATTAACCCCACGTTACTGTCATATCTCACGCCCTTCTCAAATAAAATCTTTAAATCATTTCTCTAAATTCTCTCATTGGACCTCACAATCCATAATGGCCGGAGAATCGGAAAACTTCTCCACAGTCGCAACCGATGAAAGCACCGAGCACGGATTCGAGCGGCCGGAGATGTACCAGAGCAACCTATCTGGCACCGTTGACCACTACGACCGCCACTTGTTCCTTTCCTACAAGACTCACGACTCGTGGCCTTCTCGCGTTGAGGATTCTGACTCCGATCCGCTTCCCAAGCTCCTCTCCTCCGCTCTTAAATCTCGCAAAAACGACATCGCTGTTAAGGTTTTTAATTAGACTGATATTTAATCAATCGGAAGTTTTCGCTTTGAATTTTAGCCGGATTTTGAACTTAATGCCTGTAAAAGCTTCAATGAATTAGATATTCAACAGAACTACAACGAGTTACTGTTATGTGTGATACAGACACGTGTGTTCATTATTATTAGTAGAGTTACAGAAGGACTATCGACGAGTTACTTATGATTTCAACGCCGATCTCCTTTACAAGCTCCTATTCTGTGGTTTTAAAGATCGGAAAAAGGATGGTTTTTAATTAAACTGAGATTTAATCAACTATAAGTTTTCCATGGATTTAAACTTTTTGTTCATGAACGCGTGCTAGTACAAGGCCTAAAAAAGTTCAAGTATTCAACTGAATTACGAGGAGTGACTTTTATGTGTGCTTATTATGATTATTTGATAGGGATGGGTGTTTCCATGTAGATTTGTCCTTCCTTCCTTCCGTTTTTTTTTTCCACCTTTCCTACAGTTGATTTTGATGGGTTTGAATGTTGATGTGTGATCTTGTATGGTAGACTCGGCTGACCATATGCGAGGGAGGTGATGACCTAGAGTTGTCGGATGGAGATGTTTTGGTTTTCCCTGAAATGATTATATACAGGTAATATCTATTCCAAGCATTTTATTTTTATTATTAATTGTCGAGGGCTGAGTACAATTTGTGAATCTGATATTAGCTGCTTGCTTTTATATAAGAAATAAGAATTGAGTTCTGATTATGAGTTTGACTTACGCACATGTTTTCTAGTTTTTTTTAGAGCTAACTCTTTACATCTGAAGCAATTTGAGATCTCTGATTAGCTAATTTTACTATCACTCCAAAATTTCTATAGGATTTTGTTACTTTGAGTTGAAGGTTGACTTGATGCAGGCAAAAATTAAACATTACTAAATGTATTGCTGGAGTTGTTGCTGCAATTTTCAATTGCAGTGGTTAAATCCATCATATTATATGATTAGATACACAAAGTGTTGGATACTCAATCTTGCTCAAAAACCAAATCTCCTACTGTACAGTCTTTTTTTCTATTTTCTTTTTGGGTTATGCTACATGTACCGAATTTTTATATCAAATCTTTTACACCTCAATCACATTAGGAGGTGGCGACCACAAGCCGGAATTTTTAAATACACATGGGGCCCGCGCGCATTGTGAGAGGGGGGACACCATTCGGTACCCTCCATTCGGTACATTTAGACTAATTCTTTCTTTTTAAAGCCAAATACAGTCTATTTTTAAAACTTTATTGCTTTCTTTTTTTCTCATTACAGTAAATTTTAGTTGACAACTATTTGACTGTGGAATAATTGATGCCTGTATCTCGATTTATATTTATTCATCCTTGCTTTATCAGTCTAGATTTGGACTTATTTTAAATATTAATTACTTGCTGCTGCTGCTGCTGTCAAGAGTCACTTACCTTGGATGGAGTGAGTGAGTTCTGATTAAGTTTTATCACCACTCAACACTTTATACGATTGAGCCAGTACCCTCAGGTGAGTCAAAAGCGGACTGTATTGTAACGCAAAATGCAGTCAGTCAGACAGAGAAAGAAAATGCACAGGAAATCACTGCGTTATGTTTCACTAACATTACAAAATGTCTCTTTCCCTTCTCAACTTTTTTGGAGTTGAAAGGATATCAAGGATTTAGAGTGATGAATATCAAACAATAGGCTGTCATTTAACAATTTCATGCGTGTTTTGACCGGAACTAGGTTGGATATTGAAATTAGTGGCTCAAGTTTGAAGACAAGTGTTTATCATCTTGAAAAGGATAAATACATAGCTTCATAGATTTAGTATCTCCAATAGATTTACCTTCACTCTAATTAATTCTTAGTGCATTTCAGAGATTGATAGGAGTACTCTCAGTTACTCTGTTTTATGCTATGAAAACCTGGCGTGTTATTACATGCAGACTTTTAGTAGTGTTTCTTTGTTGCATAATTATGGTGGTTTGGGCAGGAATGTATTTATACATGGCTTAGGCATTCTATTGATTATGGTATCTTGACATAGACCTGGTTTTTGTATTTTCTTCTTGCAGGAGCTTGAAGGACTCTGATGTGGATGGTTTTGTTGAGGATGTGCTAGTGAATGGAAAACCCTGGGCATCAGGAGTGCAGGAGGCTTTGACTGGCACCTATGTGTTTGTCTGTGCTCATAATAATCGTGACAGACGGTGTGGTGTCTGTGGACATGTTCTGATTGAGAAATTCAAAGAGGATATTGAATCCAAGGGTTTACAGAATCAGGTGGTTGTTACTGCTTGTTCGCATGTTGGAGGCCACAAGTATGCGGGGAATGTGATTATTTTCAGTGCTGATGCTGAAGGAAAAATTTCTGGCAATTGGTAAGGCACAAGATTTATTGTTTATTTTATTATTTTCGAATATTGATGATAGGATCAATTCCAGATATTTTTGATGGTTCAGTTCCAGATTTGCTACTCTTCTGTGAATATGTAAATACTATTATTACACACATGTTTTGTTGGTAAAAGAGAGTATGTACATAAAAGATATGTTACAAAGGCCAATAATTGGTTCTTTTTTTTAATATGTAGGTATGGTTATGTCACCCCCAATGATGTGCCTGAATTGATTGATCAACAGATTGGGAAGGGAGAGATCATTGAACGAATCTGGAGGTCTGTACAGTATTCATGCTCTTTCCCGTGCTGCTTGCCATGTGCATAGTTTAATCATGTTACAATTTAGAGGTGTCCGCTATTTCAGTAATTTTTTTTTTTATCCCAGTCTGCAATGGTGTTATTTTTTAATCTTTTCATGGTTCTACTTTTTTGATAAATAGAATGGGCAGTGTTTAAAAAGGCACAATCCGGGTACTTGAGTGTTTTTCCTTCATGAGGTGAGGCATAAGCATCAAGGTATTTGAGGTGCACAGGAAACCAAAAATATGTAAAAAAAATTATTAAAATGCAAAATAAGCGCATTATAAATCATAAAAAATCTTCAAATTATTGAAAGAACAATTTGAAGTGTGTAAAGAAACAAAAGAAAAATCTATTAATTAATGAAAAAAGAAAGAAAGTATTACTTTAGTTGGTAGGGTGTTGATTTTTCCCGAATTGGGTCTATGAGAAATACTATCTTTTAATGTTTTATTAATAGTTGATTCCCAAGATGGGTTATAAGAAACACAATTTTTATTAATTGTGAGCTATTTCCAGTGGGGGTCAATCAGAATTTTTAGCCCCTGTTTGGTTTCACTAAAAATCAGTTTTTTAATAAATTTTGATAAAAGTTTATGAAATGTGTTGTTGGAAAGTTAATAAAAGTTGTGGGTCCCTTAAAAAATGTGATTAAAATTAATTATTAACTTTGACTTGGATTTTTAGCAAACTTTTTAAGCTATAACAAAAAGGGGCTTAATGTTTTTTTCTGCCCACACCTAGAGAGAAATAAAATAAATCTGAGAATTAAGGAGCACACGCCCCACAAGCCTTGATGCTATGAATATTGTAGACATGACCTTTAGTGTGAATGACTTCTCTGTTACCACTAAAGATTATAGACATCAGCAGTGAATAAATTAATATCATTTTCTCGAAACATGAATATTGTAGGATTTGGATTGCCTTAGACCTTTACATTGTTAACTAGCCAGGAGATGGTGCTGCGCCATTGTTCTAAATTATGCCTTACTTGCCAAAGAAAGAACTCTTTTTTCTGTATGAACAGCAGAAAATAGTTCCTATCATTTCAATAGCTGAAAATTCATGAAAGTTTCCATTTATGTGCTTGCTACTTGCACATCCTTGAAAACATAAGTTCATCATGGATTACAACTTTTCTAGTGTTTAGTCTAATCCATCTAATTGAGGTTTGAACGAGTAGCGCCACCCTTTCGTGCATTTGTTGGGGAACTAATAGTTTTCTGACACTATTGCATTTCCTGTTGACTATAATTTGCCATACCCAACTGCAGGGGCCGAATGGGTACACCTGTCGAGAAAACTGAAAAAGTTGAAGAACCTAAGCTTGCAAATGGAACGAGTCTTAACAATAATGATAAGCAACCTCAAGAAAGAGGTACCGAAGAGAAGGACAGTGTGGGAAGCTGTTGCCAAGGTGCTAATGGATTCTCATGTTGCAGAGATGAGAATTTTAAGGAGAAGCCTGTGAAGAAGGGGTCAGGCGGACTCTCATGCCGGACAGGAAAATGGGATCAGCATGAAATTCTGACAGCCGTTGTTGTTGGTGGTGCAGTGGCTACTATTGCCGTGGCTTATGGATTATATCGAAGGTCGAGGTGATGTTTGCTCCATAACCTATCACGTGCTGTTCACAGTTGGGAGATATATGCCCTCGATTTTTGTAGAGAGGTATAACTAGAACCATAAATAAATTCTCTGGACCGCACATTCTTGACAAGGAAATTCATCTGAATTTTAAGATGAAAAACTTAGCTATATGAAGTTTAAACAAATTATTTTTTTTCTGAGATGTTTCTGCATGTTAGTACTCTGGCGACTGGTTTATATCAGTACTGATTTTCATTCCATTATAATTGGAGCTGTTTTCTGCTGGTTTTTGCATGATGGTCTCTTTAATCAGGTGATTGGGCCCTTCTTAGTACGGTTGGCCCAAGCCTAAGATGTTCTGAATCTTTTTTGATTCTATTGCTATCAATAAAAATTATAAAACTATCCGCTTGGCTTTCCTAATCCTTGTTCCTTTGACACAGTGAATAATACTTTCTTTGAGAGTGAAATTCTTTTTCCATTAGGTTTTGACCATCTTTCACGGGAAAAAGAACGGATGGATATTTTAGTATTTGCATTAGCTTGCAAAAGTGGGAGGTCGGATGGACTCGTGATCAAATTGGATTGATTATAAGCTTAACCATAGAATTCAAGCCCAAACATAAATGTTTCAAAATATAATTTCAAAAATACAAAATTTGTAAAAAAATTTCAAAAATCAAGTGTTTACATAGTGACATTTGATAATCAAGTGTTTACATAGTGACATTTGATAAAATTGTGATCTATAATTAAATTAAATGCTTCTGATTTTGAGGAGTAAATTGATTTAGGGTTCTGATACTTGTATACTGACATCCGATGTAAAGGCCCTCACGAAGGGGATACACAATTTTTTTATTGAGTGTAGCCCCCATTTGTGAGGAGATTGTTCATCGAAAATTTCCCTAAGCAGTAAGTACAAAACAATTTAGCCCCCGTTTGTCATTCATTTTATCAAATATTGTTTGCTATAGTAAACAATCTCCACCACATATTTACTCAATAAAATATTATACACACAAATCAACAAAATTACTTTATTTTTCAACCACACATTCTCAAAAAAATACTATTCAAAACTCTATTTCTTCTCCCAAAATGGGAGACAAACAAGCACTTAGATTATGGGCTTCATGTTTGGAAGCTGGCCTAATAGTTAATTGTAAATAGATTTAGTCTATACATAGACATACACATGGGGAGGTCGACATTATTTAATTCGGGTTGGGACCCACATGCAATGTGAGTGGTCGGCCAACCCATATGTCAAGCATTATGTTTATTTAGCTTAATTTTTATGACACTGGCTTTTGCCTGATTTTTCCTGTGAATTAGTAGATGTCATCAACAAAGTATTTATTACTCCCTCCGTCTCAATTATATAGGTTGAGTTTCCTTTTTTTCTTGTTCCAAATATATAGGTCGGTTTCCTAATGTAGAAATTTTTGTTGTGTTCCTTTACACCAATATACCCTTATTAAATTTTTTCTACTTAATATGCCAACTTCTTGAAATTATCCAAATACACACTTCCCACTTCTTGGAAACATGGAACAACTCTCATTTCTTCTTGGAAACGTTGAACTTCTTTTGTGTCTTCTCGTTTCTCCGTCTTTTCTAATGAATAAAAATCACTTCTGCCGTTCATAACTGATAAACAATTCCATTAAAATAATCCCATTAAAATTACTGCTGCCGGTCATACACACTGATAAACAATTCCATGAAAATATTGTTGTCGGTTATACACACTGTTGTTGTTGATCAAAATCAATTCCATTAAAATTACTGTTACCGGTCATACACACTGATAAACAATTCCATGAAAATATTGTTGTCGGTCATACACAATGCTGCTGATGCTGATCAAAATCAATTCCATTAAAACAATTAGTGTTGCTGCTGCTGAATTTCTCTGTTGTTGTTTGAAGTTCTTTGTTGCTGCCAAAGTTATCTACATATATGAGTATTTTGTCCAAATCATGAGTATGAACTCTAAAAATCATTCACATTCCATTGAAGAAGATACCTGTACGTCATTTTTACGAAGTAATCTGAACTCGAAGAAAGAAGTGAGGCTGCTGCTTGATTTGAATGCTTTGCCGACAGTATATGATTACGTTTCCGCTTCTCAAGAGTATCAACATGTTGTTTCTCGGATGATCAAAATCTATCTACCGAAAATTTATGAGGACCAGATTGATGCTCTTGCTGATATCAAGAAATAGTAACAAATCTTTAATAGGTATATAATAGGACCATATGTGTAATAGGAATCTTTATTTTAAAGTACATTTCCTTTTGATGTCGAGTAAGTTCAATTTATAGCTACGTTTTTTACACATAGAAGGTGTGGACGGCATGATATAGAGTAAGAAAACTAATGTTAATGCTCCCCTTCATTACAGTCTAATCAATTGAAAACAAATAATACAACCAAATGATATCATTCAAAAATCAAAAGCCAAGCCTCGAAATGAGTTCTGGACATGTTTCAATCTGTTATAAACTCTAGGATATGGGCAAAACACTAAAATGATGCAACTAAAGCAAAAGTAAAAAATACGAGTAACATAAAAGTGCTGTTTTTGAGTCCTTAACGACCTCGGATGGCTAAAATCCATCATAGGCAATCGCAAGGCGATTGGTTTAATCCGTCTCGTCGTTCCCTATTCGGAAAGGTATTATGGGCCCAAATCAAATCTTGTATGCCAATTCTACAAATTTACCTGATTGTAGTTACTCGGTTGAAGTAAGAGCTGCCTCTGCCATTAGTACAACTTCAGGCTCAAACTGAATGCAATTCAGTAGTCGCCTATTTCTCATCAATTTGTGCTTGTTCATGTGTGGAATCCTATAATTGTTACCACCCGAATTTTTCATCACCTCAATCATCCGTGATTGCAATGTCAGGATCACATTGTTCAACTCTTCAGTAGGAAATGTCTGAAAAGCATTCTCAAATGCTGAAATGAAGTCCTCAATTGTAGTTGGAGCCTCTTGATGTTGAATTGAATCAATGGCTCTAAAAAAACCAAGGTCTAAGACATTC